CCCCAAAACCCCAAAACCCCTCGACTGTCAGATATTCAATCTTGAAAAGTTTAATTATTGATAAGTACTAATTAAATTAGTAATTATATAAATATATATAAACACAAAACTCATTTCATTTTTAGAATCCAAACAAGCAAAATAAAAACTTAAAGAATGGAAAAATCTGAAGATTCTATTCAGAGTTCACATTCTCATGAGAATTTAGAATGGGACCCTAACCTAATTAAAGCATCAAAAGCCAAGATAGATGATTGGATGCAATAAATTGAGCTGAAATAGTACTAGACATTATCAAAAATGAGAATTGTGCTAAAAATATTTGAAGAAGAGGCCGCTGAAATTGAATAAATCATAGAAAGCATACGTTAAAATTTCTAAGAAAAACTTGATTGAGAATCTCTACAGATAAAACTAGAAATGGAAAACGATTTAAAAAGAGTTATGAGGAATCATTTGATGGATCTATGTAGCTACGCCTTGCCACCTCCATAAATCAAAACAATTTTTGACATCATTTTACTCATAATGGGAAAGCCTGTTAAGTGGCAAAATGCAAGAGAAGAAATAGAAAAACTTAACTTTGTTGATAATCTTAGAAACCATGACATTTCGGGGCTTACAAGAGATCAAGTTATCTCAGCTGATGACAAAATATCACGTGACATAAGTTTTAACTCTCTCAAGAAGATAAACAGAGCTGCTGCTTATCTATTTCTATGGGCAGATAACATACTTCACCTTCGATTTTTGCAATTTAAATTTGAGGATAATATAAGTGAACCTTTGAAAACTCAAAGATATTTAAATGAATGCAGGCTTGTGATTAACTCCAAAATTTACCAATTGGAAAAGAGATAAAAAAAATAGGATTGATAATTTGAAAAACAATTTTGAGTGGCAAGATTTTTCTTTAAGTTGTAAAGAATTTATTAAGAGAACTTGTATTACCACTGTTATTAGCAATTTTCTATAGTTTAGCAGAATTTATTTTATTTTCTAAGAATTTAACAGAAATGAGCGTCAAGGGGTTTTGGGGTTTTGGGGTTTTGGGG